CAGAAGGGTATGATCAAGTTTCGAGCGAAAAATGTTACGAGCTCAATAATAAGCTAGAGCGTTTCGTTATGTTTATCCTTCTCAGGTTAATCAATTTTTAATCATTTTCGTGTTTTGATATTCACTTTTCTAAATCAGAATAATGTTTCAAGATAGTATTGTTCATATATAATGTACGCATCGGGCACAAAATAACAAGTAACAGAAAAAAAATGTTGAAATGATGGTGATGCTGTGACTTTTTTAATAAAAGCAAAGAGATTATTAAAGCAACCAATTCTTAATAACGGGATCGAATTATCAAGCCATTACATGAAAATACTTATGCATAAGATTTATCTGTTTTGAATCGAAACAAATATCTGAAACTCAAATCCATGCTTGTAAATGTTTTTTGAATCTTATCTCAATTGAGTTTTTGATGACTCAAACATTTGTTCGATTTTTTTGTTAATCCAATTATAAAACAGAAATTTGTGATGGAATACATTTCTTGATTCATCTTATTTTTGTGAACCACTCAAGTAGACAAATTTTTGGGAAAACCCGTTTAATCAGTCGATCGGGAACCGCGATTCAGAGTTATTAACGTTCATTAGCGAAACATCAGAAACGCGTTTTTTACGCAGAATTCTCACTTTCAGAGGGTGAAAATACGATATCTAAATGGACCGTATACGGTCATGATACTGGATGCAGGAATACGGCCGTATCGTAATGAGAATCCGGCGTATATACAACAGTATACGGCGAAAATACGGTATCGTTTACAGTGCCGTATTACTGCATCCAGTACTACGGGAAAATACGGATAGTTCATTGCCGTAAAGATGTCGTTTTCGTACCGTTTATTTTCAGAAAACTGACCGTAAACGATATTCGTTTTGATCAACCTGGGAATAAAAACTTCAATTCTGAGCGTCTGAACGCATTGATTTGTAAGTTATCGAATAATTGTGCGTTTAAACGCTCATAATTGAAGTTTTTATTCGTTTTCACCCTCTGAAAGTGAGAAGTCTGCGCAAAAAACGTGTTTCTTGTGTTTCGTCAATGACCGTTAATGACTCACAATCGGGGTTCTCGATTTAGTGTTTAAATTTAAACGCGTTTTTTGCAAAAGTTTGTTTGCTTGGGCATCAGGGTTGCCAGCCGTACCCCATCTGCATTTTTCAGTGTTACGACTACTATCATCCATATTTTGGTTGAAACTAAGACAATTTCTGTCTCTTTATCCGACATTTACTATTGATAAAGATGTGAAGCGTCAATTATATTGGTTGGCTGCTAATGGTCATGTTTATGAAGAATTCAACAATGACATATGCAACGAGTCCCATGATGAAGATAATCTCATTCACAAACCGACGACCGAAAATCATGAAAGAGAAGTGGAATTTCGGTCTAATCAAGTTTGGGCTTTTCTTCTTGTAAAGTCGAGACCAATGTGTATTGAAATGTACAAAATTATTTCTTATGTCTACTCAATTCCTTGCTCGAATGCATCTGTTGAAGGCGTTCGTAGTCAAAGAAAAAGCGCATGGACAGGCAGTCGCAATCCGACGGTGAATGAAACGATAGCTGCTGAATTGAAAATCAGATTGAATAGTACTATGACATGTGAAGATATTTTTCTTTTGGTCAAGCAGAACCGCAACTGATAAAGTGTGCCAAAAGTTAACAAAAGTACAGTTTCGAAAAAGAGCGTGCAACAGTTAGTGTCAATATAATCGAGAAGGTTCGCTTTGAGTAAGCATTGTTTTATTATGATTGAATTGAATATATGTATGTCAAAATGAAATTTTATTGTGAACATATTTATTAGAAAATAAAGCTTTCAATTTGAAAGCTCGAGTTTACAGTAAAACTGAGAATGCCCTTTCCTGATTGAAAATAGTTTTCGAAATTGATTTCCGCAGCCGATGACCAGTGTGAAAGATGTAAACTGCGTACCTCACGGATGTACCCCATTTGGGACCTGAGCAGCTGGCAACCCTGGTTCCGTCATACCAACGCTCTCATTTCGTAGTATTAAATATTAGATGATTTTTTCTCTTGTTTATTTTCTTGATGTAGTTAATATTTTCGATAAAGATTTTGAGATATTTATTTAAATTAAAGTACTTTTCAATAATTAAACTCATTTATTTAGAAGGGTACGCCCTCTCTCATTCTCTTATCGACTAATTTTTCATTGACTTTAGTGGATGAGCCAATAATATTGTTTTCTCCCTCTCTCGTCCTTTCGACCAATACAATGGGGGTGTCGTTGATTTGCAGAAGGACCCCTTATTGGTTACATATCAATTCACGGAGTACATTTTCTTGTTTTTCTTGCCTGTACGAAGTACATGGCATCCAATGGTAATGACTCGTCGTCGAATTTCTTTACTGATGATTTTGATCGAAACGATATCGAACGTAATCTATATGCTATATTACATGTCAATAAAGATGTATGAACAACTGATGAATACTTTTCCATTCTAAAGTCCGATATTTTTTAGGCTGATACAGCCGCAATCCAACAAGCATATCGTCGACTAACACGTTTATATCATCCTGATAAACATGCAGACCCACAGAATAAACAGTTGGCTATGAATCTATTTATTCAAGTGAAAAACGCTTATGATATATTGAATGATCCACAAAAGCGTGCTATTTATGATGCTCTTGGAATGAAAGGTTTAAAAATCGATGGATGGGATGTAAGAAAGTAGTATATTTTCTTAGATTGGTTAATGTTAATTTTCTATAGGTAATAACTCGAACAAGAACAGCTCGTGAAATTCTTGATGAATATGAACGTCTTGCAAAAGAACGTGAAGAACGAAATCTTAATCAAATCACAAATGCAAATGTTCGTTGTTTCGAAATTAAAATTTATCATAACACTCATTCAATTCTATAGGCTTCTGTAAATGCAACTATAAATCTAACTGATGTATTTAATCAAATGAATTCAACTGATGAGAATAAGTAAATTGGACGAAGTTTAATTTTTTAAAACTGATTCAACTTTTTTTTGCTCTTGATTAGTAATCATTTTCCTGTCATTCAAACCAAAGAATTTACTGTTCAACAAAGTATTGATATTCCCTTAACAAGTCAAGATTCAGTAACGATCAATGCTCTTGTCACAACAAATAATAGACGTGGTGTAGGATTATTAACAACTTCATTTCGGCGTATTTTTTCAAATTTATCTTGGTTTCGTGTAAGAAAATTTCGAATGTTCTTCATTCAAAAAAGAAAACATTTGTTTTTAGATTGATTTAACTATGGGTCAACATCCCAATGTAGGATTTCATTATTTCCGTCGTATAACACAAAAACTGTAGGTAAAAATTCATCTCAAATTTTCACGCGTTTAATATCACTTTTTTCTTTCTTGGTTAGTTTAGTCACGCAAATGTTAATACGACATTTAGTTTATTGAATGGCGGCAAACGTTTAGCTACGTCTGGTTTTCTTTTTTCGATTACATATCAATTAGCAAACAATCTAACAAGTAGTTTACAATGGAAAACAGGTAGAGGTTCATTTATGAAAGGCATTCTACAATATGACAATCAAAAATGGGCACTTTCCAGTGCTGTTCAGGTTTGTGATTGTTTTTAATTTTAATTTAATTACCTATTGAAAAAACATTTTAGCTTGGCTTTACTAATACATTTGGTGCTATTGATGGCGTTTATCGATTTCCTGATGTATGTAATCTGCGATGTAGTCTCAAGTAAAACCGATTTCTTAGTACTTCACGTAGAAATAAATTGAACTGACGGATATTTTATTTATTTATTTTTTAAGATTGTTCGCATTTGGACCATGGATTGAATATGGTATTGATCGTCAATTGACGAAATATACACATGGCTCAGCAACAGTTGCCGTTAGTGCTAGAATGGGTGTATTATTAAGATTAAAGTATAATTTTGTTATATGATTCAATCGAAATAAGAAAAAGTTAATATTTTAGATTTACTCGTGGTAGTCAAGTATTCTCCATTCCATTACCACTAGCTAAAGATGTTCTACCCAGTGCTATATTTTATGCTACAATAACACCTACTCTTGCGTATCTTGTACTGGATCGATTAATTATTCAACCATTTGTTCGATTAGAGCACGAACGGTAATATCAGTAATTTGTGTTTCCAGATGGTCACTTGAAAATTATGGTTTCTTTTTAAATAGAGAACAGAAAAAACGTGAAGATGAAGAACGTGAAAAACAAGTTGATCGTCGGCGTGAAGCAATGAATGCTCAAGAAGTTCTTCGATCACTCGTTGAACAAATCAAAGATAAAGAAGGTTCGCAAGGTTTAATTATTCTCGAGGCATACTATGGTCATTTAAACACAATCATCGATGAATCTTCAATAAAAATAATCGATGTTCGCGTACCATTACAAATATTAGTTAAAGATTCAGCATTAAAAATTGAAACAACAATATCAAAATCAAACCTAACTGGATTCTATGATCCTTGTGTTGGTGAACAGAAATCATTGCGTATTAAATATTCATTTCATTCACAAATTCATACAGTCACATATCAAGATCTAGAACCTATAATACTACCGAATCGAAGTAATAAAAAAGAAATTTTATAAATGCATTTAACTTCTTTTTATTATAGATCATTTAATGTTGTGAATTTTTTCCACGCATACAGAACGGGTGAGCTGTAATAAATGATCGCATCTTCTTTTTTTGCGGTTTTTATCATCGAACTGGTTTTATTTTACCGTAGTAAATAATCGAAGGTCATAATTCTAACGTACTGAGAATCTTCTTAAAATGCCCTAATATTGCTAATGTCATCTAAACCTAGTGCAACATAACCACAAGACAATTAGATTGAAACTGTTTTTCTATATGTACAAAATGAAGGTCGATTCTATTGGATGATGCCATCCATCAACCACAAAAACGCTAAACTGTATACACATAAGGACAAATTGTACATGATAGAAAGTTCATTGATTGATGAATCATGGGCTACGAAATAACTCTCGAAAAATAAATTTCAATTTCAGATATATAACACGTACTGCAACTTATGAGCTAGATTTTCCGTTCAATAGAGCATCTCCGATGATTGAAAACTAAAAATATTCGATGCTATCATTTACTATAGTCAACTCATTATATTTTGTATAGATTGAATTAGGAGTTCATTTTTTTCTTCTATTTGAATTAGTATTTAATGTTTTTCTTTTTTTATAACAATCCAATCAATATCTTCCGTTTTTGTAGATGTTTCTTCGTTCCTTGCTGTCTATCAATCGATGTTCTCTATTATCACTTGTTCGTACTCATTCTACAACATCTAACACCACACATTTCGGTTACGATGAAGTACCTGAACATGAAAAACAAGCACGTGTCAATCAAGTCTTTACAAATGTTGCTGATAAGTATGATCTTATGAACGATATCATGAGTTTTGGTGTACATCGCGTATGGAAAAATTATTTCATTCAAGTTGTTCGTCCTAATCCAGAATGGAATTATATTGATGTTGCTGGTGGAACAGGTGATATAGCATTTCGTTATCTCAAAGAGCTCAATCGTTTTCATCCATCATCATCATCATCTGTGTCACCGCCAGAACCATCACCACAGACAACTAGCGCAGAGTCGTCTGAAAAAACACTTGTTTATCCAACGTCAAAATGTGTTGTTGCTGATATTAATGCCAATATGCTCGCTGTTGGTAAACAACGTTCTTTGGAAAACAATCTTCATGATCGTATACAATGGGTTGAAACCAATGCTGAAAAATTACCATTTCATGATAGTCAATTTGATGTATATACAATCGCGTTTGGTATTAGAAATTGTACACATATCGATCGTGTTGTATCGGAAGCATATCGAGTATTGAAAAAAGGTGGACGATTTCTGTGTTTAGAATTTAGTCAAGTTAATAATACATTGTTACAATATTTTTATGATCAATATTCAAAAACATTTATACCACCAATGGGACAAATCATAGCTAATGATTGGAAATCTTATCAATATTTAATTGAATCTATACGTGTTTTTCCGAAACAAACTGAATTTGCTGATCTAATACGTTCATGTAATTTTCGTTATGTTAATTATGAAAATTTATCATTTGGCATTGCAGCCATTCATTCGGGATATAAACTTTAGAGAGTTTATTTCGCTTTTGTTTTAGATTAAAGTTTTAGAAAATCAAAAAGATCAATCATAGTCATGGCTGGTGCAAATGGTCGACGATTCTTTGTTGGTGGCAATTGGAAAATGAATTATTCAAAGGCCATTGCAGACGTTGTTAATAATGCATTGAACAATACAAAATATGTTGATGGTAATAATAAACTTTTGACCAAGCGATGATTTTTAAACATAGTTAATTGAATTTTGTTTTAGTTGAAATTGTTTGCGCACCACCGGCTCTTTTCATCAAAGATGTTGTTGCATCAAAACCAGCACATGTTCAAGTAGCCGCCCAAAACTGTTATCTTGCTAAGGATGGTGCATTCACTGGTGAAATTAGGTAAGAAAATGAAAAGTTCATTTTAAAATAAAGATTTTGCTTTTGCTTAGTCCGGAAATGGTAAAAGAAGCTGGCTGTGCTTGGGTTATTCTTGGTCATTCAGAACGACGAACATTGTTTCATGAAGATGACGACGTAAGGCAATTTTGAATTGAATATGATGTTATCTAAGTGCATTTTGTTTTCAAGTTTTTAAAAAAGAAAATTGACTATGTGCTCAATAAAACCGACATCAATGTCATCGCTTGTATTGGTGAAACATTACAAGAACGTGAAGCTGGTAAAACAAATGAAGTTGTTGAACGACAAGTCAAAGCTTATCAAGGTATATCATATTTTTAGTGAAGCTAAATTCGATTGCACTATGCTATCAGTAGAGAGTTGTAATAGACATGTGCTTTGTTATACGAGCCTCTAAATTAATTGGTGTAGAAAATAAATTATTGTTTTTGTAGAAAAAATTGCCAATGATCAATACAGTCGTGTTGTAATAGCTTATGAACCTGTTTGGGCTATTGGTACTGGTAAAGTTGCCACACCTCAACAAGCTCAAGACGTTCATGAACATTTACGTCAATTTATTGGCAAAAATGCAACTGCTGATGTTGCAAAAAGTATCCGTATTATCTATGGCGGTAAGATTTGTTGTACACGATAAATGATGGAATCCAGTTCTATGTTCAATTAATTTATAGGTTCCGTCAATGGAGCAAATTGTAAAGAATTGGCTCAAAAGCCTGATATTGATGGTTTTCTGGTCGGAGGTTTGTAATCTATAAAGTCGTTACCATATATTCTATGTTGTATTATCTTTTCAGGCGCTTCACTCAAACCGGAATTCGAACAAATATGCAAAGCTCGTCAAAATTAGAAGAATAATGACATTTTTCTTTTAGTTTCAATTTCCCCTAGTTTAGATGACATAAAGACATACAATCACCACTAGTCCCTTATTCAAGTTGAATCTTCTAGCTAGTCACTCTTTAAATTAAAATATCTAATGCATCTAAAAGCGATTTATTCTATTTTTTCTCTTGCAGATCTATTTCATAATGTCAACAGCAGATGAATTCATTGAACCACGCTCAAATCGCAAGCGAAAACGTGAAACAAATGAAGGAGAAAATCCTAGTATGGATACAGAACAAACTACAACAGCACAATTTCCACAAATCAATGCAGCTGAATTAAAAGTAAAAGTCAATAAGAAACAATTAAAATATTAAGTGTTTTCTGTTTTGGTTTTTAGGATGATACCGATAGTTTTCGTAAAGTACCCATACCTGCACATCGTTATACACCATTGAAAGATCAATGGATGAAATTGTATTCACCTATTGTCGAGTATCTTCATTTACAGATACGTTTCAATTTAAAAACACGTTGTGTTGAAATCAAAACATCCGATCAAACTGAAGATATTCAAGCATTACAAAAAGCTGGTAGGAAGAGTGAAATCTTGGGAATATTTTTGATGACTAATTTTGTTTTTATTTAGCTGATTTTATTAAAGCATTTGCACTGGGCTTTGATGTTGAAGATGCGCTTGCATTAATTCGTCTTGATGATCTCTTTCTAGAATCCTTTGAAATCAATGATGGTAAACCGAAATAAAATAAGAGTCATTGATTCTCATTTTAATATGCCGTCTCTTTTATCTTATAGTTAAACCATTGAAAGGTGATAATCTATCGAGAGCTATTGGTCGTATTGCAGGTAAAAATGGTCGAACAAAATTTGCCATTGAAAATGCAACGCGATGCCGAATTGTACTTGCTGAAGAGTATGTTGTTACTATTTTCCGGAGCAATAGAACATGAAATATTCACATAATTCTATTGTTATTTAGTAAAATTCACATTCTGGGTTCATATCAAAATATTGCAAATGCACGAACATCCATTTGCAATTTGATCTTAGGCTCACCACCATCCAAAGTCTACGGAAAATTGCGAACTGTAGCAGCGAGAACAGCCGAAAGTTTTTAAAGAAAAAAGAGATTCGTTTCTGTTGTTGTTTATTATGGCTACTGTTTTGCATATTAGAAAAAAACAATCTGCAACGATACATTCGAAAATAAATTGTTGATCTTGAAAACATACTATGCTATCAGAATGTACGCTGATTTTAGCACAGAATATGAGTGCGTGTAAGACACTTTCGTTTATCTAAATCATTAAGTTATCGACGATGGGCAAACAACAAATCACCATCTATACGCTCTTCAGTTTTGACCGACGCATACTGGCGAAAAATGATTTCCATTGTCGACGAATTGAAATAGTTTACTCATGACTATTGAGCACGCGAAGAAGTTGCTAGTTTTTTTTCCTAAGGTCTGTTTTTATAATATAATTGTCTTTCTAGTTCAGGCTATGAATGGCTGTCGCTTGAATATATAGTTTAGTATGAGATTTATTGCAAAAGTCAAAGTTCTGTTCAATCTCTCTGAATTAACGGTTAGCTCCTTTTGAAGAAATTCTGGCATTATGACTCCAGTTAAAGAATAAAAAGAAGACCAATTTAGAATAAATTGTTTATATTTAAATGATCGAATAAAATAAAGATAAATAAATATTTTTTTCTAAGTAATTAATAACGAGATAAAGTTCAAAAGAAACTGGTCAGCTTGATACCATCATCGAAGTATTCTATGCATGCTTGCAAGATGGAGCTTCAGTTAAAATATTGTTGTTATCTGTGACACAAACGACACGCTTTGGATCGAGCATTTGATCTTGTAATCCATTTTTTTGCATTGTACGGATGTATGCCTAAGATAATCAGGGAAGAAAGAGTTTAGCAAATATAGATTTAAATCAAATGTTTTAACTTCTATCAAATGTTAATATTACTTCTGATGCTGCTTCGAATGTTTGCCCGACCAATTAGAGCCATTCTTTACGTCCAAACATTGTTTAAAAATATCTAAGACAAAAGTTTTCCGGTAAGATTCTTATATTAAACGGAAAAAACGTGTCTTTTTTATATGCAAGATTAAAAACAAATAGAAAGGATGGAAGTCATTCAAAGATAAAATGAAGTGTCTCTCGAAATTGAGTTTATCATTTACATAAATACGGTGCCTTATTTACCTCCTTAAGCTCTTTGATTATACCTATCCAGGTGAATGAATCCGATACCGAATCGAATCGGATCGGATCTTATAAAACCCGACGAGCCGACAAAGTCCCATGGGATTTCGGATTGAGGAACTACTAACGGATCCCTAGTGTTGGAATCCAGTGAACATCCGACCAAATCTAACAACCGAATTCGATAAGAATTTCAGGAGTCAGATTCCAACACTAGGGATCCGTGAGTGCGTCCGCTGCCCGGATTTGCTTAGAATCCTGCAGGAACTGATCGAAATCCGGCTGGATCCAGCTATCGGATTGTTCGCCGTGGGTACTATAAAAAAATGAAGGCTTTCATTTTCGTGTACTCAATAGTATGTATGAATGTTACAGACAGTGTTTTTTCTCTTTAAAAATATTGTTCCCGTACAGGCACAGCACAAGAGCACTCAATAAAGTCTACCAAAGAGTAGAATGGCAAAATAATCTCCAATAAAGCTTATTTATGGATTGTGGACTAGCGACTGAAAGATATACGGAAATAAACTAGATAGTATCTGAGTTGCACTCGTATACGAAATGCGATGCTTATCTTAGATCAACTGTAAATGAATAGACTATACTGGTTAACATATGCTGATGACGTCGTTTTAATCATCTCAAAATAAATTCCTTTCATTTTCGCCATTTTGGAACAACATTTCTGAGTGAACAAAACTTCAGATTGAAGATTCGAAAACCCGTGTAAAACGTTCGATCTCAAGTTCTAATGACTTTCCTAAGATTTTTACTTCTCGAGATCATCGAAATATAAAATGATAGACTGTGGTGCGTACGTCGATAAAGTAAAAGAAAAAAGGAGAAGTAAACTCGCAACGGACTACATAAATGCTTCTGCTTCGCATCGCATTAATAATAGTGTATGAAAACTATGCGAGAATGAAAAAGACACGATATTGTACTTTTTTTATTGAAAAATACAGCAATGTGCTTTAGATGTGAAAACTAGTCTTAATTTCACATTTAGCTCTCATATTACAATCTTAACAATCTCACTCGCAACATATGGAATGCGACCGTATTGATATATATTAAGAAAACTTGTTCACTATTAAAAACGAAAAGCAGGGATCTACTTTACGTTTCATATTATCCGATAGAAACTTTGAAACTTTACAACATGATTCTATATTGTTCGATATGATGAAAGATACAATACAAATGAGTGTATTCATTGGTTTTAGTGAGAATAATCAAGTTCGCCTATTCTAATATTGTCTTATCCACAAATTAAACTCGAAACAATAGTACCATCATGGAAAACTGCATGAAACTTATTAAATGATATACAATTCAAAGCAGATCACTGCTTTTTACGGCTCAATAGTAACAGAATTTTATCAGAATTGCCGCTGTAATTTCAGTGAAGGTGAATAATGATGTCTCAGAGAAGAATGGAAAGGAAAAATGTTTTGTCACACGCTTATATATGATTCAGTAGAGAGACGACGCAAACTTCATTTTATATAATAGTCACTGTCAGGGACCCAGGTCGTTCATTCCTACAATCGGATCTGAAAACGCGTTGCATCGGATCTTACATGAAAGCCGACAAGAACCAACAGATTTCATCGAATTCCGGGCTTCGAACCGAGATTAGGATCCGTAGGATCGGAATCCGGTACGATTCGATCGTATCCTACTCTGGGATCCAATGCGCTAAAAAAAGCCTGCTATAGTCAGCCTCTAAAAAGCTTTTTTGCATTAAATAGAATTTTGATCTTTTTTTTAATTCTTCCGTTGGATCCGTCAACACTTCCGATAGAATCCGTCGTCGGATTAATCGACCTGGAGAGTTGAAGATGGAAAGAAAAAACTTTACAAAGAAGCACAGAATTATATGACACTATAAGAGAGTGATAATATCAAGTTTTCAGTCAGTGGCGCTCGGCTAGTAGGAAGTGTAGCAGTCTAAATTGAATGTTAATAAAGCTCTCGTGGCCGGATGAAGAATTTGGGCAATAATATAGTCAATTTTGAGAGAAAAAAAAGTCGATTTTATCGCTTAATGGTTGTTCTCATCTGCAACTGCTCTTGGACATGTATGTTTAATTGTATTCGGCAGCCCAAAACTAGCCGGTGACCTTTTTGAATACCATCCTCTAAGCTTTATTAGATAGGCAGTTTACTCAGTGGTATTAAGAGCAATCTACAACCAAATAAAATATCGTGGATAGCTACTGATCCCAGATCGAACTTGTACGGCAGGAGAACACCGGAAACCACTGGAACGTGGAAGCAGTATTCCGGTCGGAAAGTCTCGGAATTTTTCTGTGAACTCGCAGCGATTTCCTGTGCTTTCAGACAGAAACCGATTGGAAAATCACCGAAAATCTTCGACCGGAATACTGCTTCCGATTTCCGCGATTTCCAGTGTTTTCCTGCAAGATACGGTGGTTTTTCCGGCAGTATCCGTTCTCCGAAATCATTGATCTGGGATCCTAGTATGGCATCTAGTCAAATATCAATTTTTCCATTATCAATATTCTCAGCCATAAATACGAAAATACCACTTACACAACTGATAATTTGCGTAGTCATGATTATAGTGAAACTACTTTCACATTACGTTATTCTATTATAAATGTTCTTCATATCTGGTTTTTCATTCCCTTGTTCATAGTGATGAATTAATTTGTAAAAAAGTGATTAAACTCTCGGTTCACACTTTTTAATAGTTATCAGATTCTAGAGAAGTTCAAATCAACCAATACTAACCAGAAAGCTTGTAGATTTGGGCATCATAATCATTCACCTAACATATTCAGCCAATTGTTTCATCTATATCGGTAGATATTAGGAATTACTTTTGATTTCTAATTGTAAAATTTTTCTCATCAGTTCCTTATCATTGCTGTGAAATAATGTTTATTATAATCTACATCATCTTCTCGATGTTTGAAGTAACAATACGAATTTCTAATTTACGAGAATATCGATGAGAATAAAAAATATGTTCGTGTTTCTCATTGCAAAAAATATTTATCAATCTGGACAATGAGCGATAGTTTGTGTGTAAATTATTTTTCCTTAACAGTAGGTACTATTTATAATAAGAGTTATCGGTTCGAAAAATCTGGAGAATTATGTATTCTATGTTGCATGGAATGTTTCCCATTTGTAAATTTCATAAATTCTTTATACTTCTGTCATAAAGGATTTCTTGATGGATGCTTTAAAAATATACCGCTGTCCTTCTTATCAATATTATCTGTTCAAAATGATGACATTAATACTAAATAACTGACTGTGATAATTCAAGCATAATTTTTTAAAATTCCTCTACATTGGCGATACATTAATTCTTTCGGGTACTCTATTTCTACTAGTACGGCTATTATATCTTAATGATATGATAATGAAGATATCGGTCGAGTATTGAAAAAATCTTCGTAACAACTATGAGAATCTACGTAAAAATTGTAGTCATTCGAGTATAATTCTATGATAGACAAAGTGTGCCCACAATAATTAGTCTACCAGTATTTTTGTCTCCTTCGCTACGCATAGCCAAGTAAGTTTTATTCCAAAATATTTTCTATTGTCTGCTTTATAAGTACATGTCAAACGTTTTTCTCACAGTATAGAAATATTAATTTGTACGAGAAGATACTTTGGAAATCCTTTCAAAACTGAAAGTATTGTCTTCGACTTTTTCCCCTAAGACTTTTAACTGTGATTGATGGGTGTATAAGTCATAGGAAAGATTAATTAGATATTTTGTGATGCATGAGAACTTCTATCTTTTTTTACTACCACGATACAATTTGCATGACAATGTGGGGCGAGGTAAAACTTTGATTTTTCCTGATTGTGAAAAAATGGATCTTTCCATTCTGATATTTTAAGAGTTTTAAGTAATTAAATCTTCGTAAATCAACTAAAACGTAATCTCTAGAGCTTTCTTTTGACGTACTGCAAAGCAAAAACAAAGATTCGTTACATATGAGTCGAAACATTTAGCTGCAATGTGTTCTATTTGAAGAGGATCTTCCGAACACCCATCACTTGAGAATATTTATGATTGAAGAGAAGATCTGCAAGACTCTACGTCCGTTTTTTTCTACATTCTATGTACTTGATGGCGAAATCTAGTTAGATTTCAATGCATTTTCTCAAAAAGTGAAATCTAAGAATAGGAAAAACAACAATTTTTACTTTATCTACCTAATTCACTGCCGTTATAGAGGTGATATAAAACATTGCGCTATAAATAGGAAAAAAAAGACTTCGTTATTCTATCTGTTCAATAAGGATCTATAATTAGATTTTAATTCATTGTTCACAATGCTAACGATAAGATTTGTAGGAAAAAAAATCGTCGGCAACACTTTTCACTTTTTCATCTATAAAAGAAATCAAGACATGTTAGTAGCTAAGAATAATCCTCTTAGGGAAGAATTAATGTCATTGGTAAGTAATTAATCATAGTCCATTACTTATTTATTTTTTCGCTACAACGATACACCTACGCTATTTGATCAGTGGCACAGCTTTTCTTAGGAAATTCAAATATTAATAAAGAATCTTTGACAAAGGTCCAATGTTACTTTTTTTGCTTAATTTCATAATAAAGCCAACTTGTCTAACATAACTCTTCTTTATACTCATTATAAAGATTTCTCGTCAATTGTCATTGCAGTTCATTAAACACAACCGTTGGAAACGTAACAAGAGTAAGCACACAATTGATATAGCAAACTTTTCTATTCATTTTTGCTGCTATTTATTGATCGAACTTCAGAATATCATCGTCCGATGCCGACTTCATGGCATATATTAATAATATTTCATCTGGAATGAATCGTTATTTCTCAATTTTTTTTTCTTGTTGGTACATTGGGTAATATTCTCAATGTTCTTGTTTTTTCTGGCCGAGACTTTCGAAAAAACTCTTGTGCAATACTCTTTCTGGCTTCATCCGCAGCTAATTTTATTGATATCATTTCTGGTCTTACTTCACAAATGCTGTCTGATTGGGTCGCTGATCTAACAAGTACCGACAGATTTCTTTGTAAACTTCGAGCTTTTATTCTCAACGTAACAAGAACAGCGGCATTATGGCTCACCCTATTAGCAACTGTAGATCGATGGCTTTCATCGAGCATTACTGTTCGCTTTCGACAGATAAGTTCATTGAAAAATGTACACCGAGCCATCATTATAATTCTAATTGCTTCTACAACTCTCTATGTTCATATTTTATATTGCTATGAATCAAATTTAGTGAATGCTTCTTTGAAATGCTATGGAATAACAATAACATGCCGCTATGATCACGGACAGATCTTTTACGTTTGTGACCATCAAGAACGTGCGTCCGTCACGACGTCAGATTCAAGCCGGAAATGTATCAACTATTAATAATGTAGGGCGAACGAAAGAAAATCAACGACATCAAGAAAACAAAAATGATACTCATCTTCTTCTTGTGCTTTTCGTACAAGTTATTCTTCTGTTCATCTTTAGTCTTACATTGGGCATGGAAAAGTAGTACGCTACGATAACCGTAAATAGAACTGCACCCAAATTACAAGTGGCTATTGACAATTTTGCTTACAACTTCATTCTGCTGCTTAATTTTTTCACTAATGGGATGCCATTCTATATTTACACATTAGCTGGTGGAAATATATTTCGAAAAGAACTTATGAAAACTTTGATTGCAGTACGAAAAAGGTTATGCTGCCGATGCCAATGAATATTGTATTACATGTCATATCAAGACTTTTCAAAATAAAACATTTCTGCTATTTATTCATTTAGAATAAAAATTAATAAAACTTGCTTTCACTAATTTGTTCTCATTTTCTTCAGTATCTCGACGTTGATCCATTATCTACCGCTTGGAATAATATTTATATTTAATTGATTCAAACGTAAGCCAATGCATTCGTACGTGTTTCTAATTGGTTGGTTAAATTTCTGAATGGGTAGTTTTTCGATATAGAAGCAAAATAAGAAATTGTTTGATTTTAACGAATTTCAGATCGTTGAGAGAAGCCTCATGCGTGAATCAAAACGAAGCAACGATCTCTTGCAACAACAAGCATCAGCTGATGTAATAGAAATATTATCATTGTTTGAAATTTTTTACTAGTTTTAATTTTAATTTCAAGAAAGATGATATTCTTCAACAAGTTGTTGAACAAGAATATACAACATTATACCGTCAAACGCATAAAGCCTCACAAAAGATAGCACGGTAAAATTTTATTGAACTTCAAAAAACGATTTTCGATAATGCCAGCCAACTATTGATTTTGACTACCACTCTGTGTTTTTCGTTTAGTCATGTTCTTCGAAATGTAGTTCAAGCAAGTCCACCACGTCCGTTATCTATACCAATACCTATAACTACAGTAGATTCAACTGTAGAAATACATGATGACGAACACACTGTTTCAGTAATGGTAGCTGATGGTACTAATAAAAATTCGCAAAAAAATTCAACAATTCCAACTGTTATGCCAACACTTCCTATTGTACGTGAACTAACATCATATGTGCCAACAGCAAAAAATGTTGCTACACGTGGTCATCTTATTGGTATACCATATTTAGGTGATAAATTCGATGCTGAAGATCAACGTTTAATTAATTCAATATCAGTTGAACCATCGAAACAACAAAAATTAATACGAAGTATTTCTATATTTTACGATTTTCAATTGATTCATATTTTTAAATAGAAAAAAAACTTGACGAACCATTATTGGAAAATCTATTTCAATCGCTTCGATCGAATAAAACATTGAATACGTATTCAAATGAACGAATCATCGATGAGATACTTCGTAAGAAAGTTAAAATTAAGATTTTGAAAATATCATTAGAATATATTTTCTATAGATTATCATCGCGATTCAACATCAAGAGCAAGACTTATGGCATTACCAAATCAAACTACTTGTTTGACCATTGATAATCAACAAACGAATACAATCAGTCAAAAGTGTGAGTCAGACGAGATTGATATTGATGATATTATTATTAAACGTTGGTGTGCTCGATTTTGTCCACGTTGTTATACTTACAAGTAAGTTTTGTATATTTCTCGATAGAAGCAGTAGTGTTCTCACTAAATTAAACTCATTCACGATGATAATCTTTTTTCTTCTTCTTATAGTTGTTTATTACATAAAGAAGGTCCATCCCATTTACCACTACCAAAACGATTTTCTATTTCACAAGACGATCAATCGGAACAATGTAGCTCTACATGCTATAAATATCAACGTGAATATCATAAGAGACCACTATCTCCATCGGCATACATAGATGAGTCATCCGATCAAATAGAATATAATCAAAAACGTCAACGTAAATCAACAAATAAATTTCTTTTAAATTCGAATGAAAATCTAAATATGGATGAATGTGTTGAAGTGAATATCCAATTAAATGATTCACAACGAAAACATTCATTACCACGTTTAACAAGAATTGAAAATCATCTTCTATGCCAATCGATTCAGCCATGTTCCTTAGAAAATAATTGGACATTAACAGACCGAAATTTATTTCGTTTATTCTATTTTGCCTTGGATGGTGATTTATGTTTATTCAGTCAATTATTTGATTATAATCGAACATGTAAAGATCTATATCAACAACTGATAGAGGATTCAAAATATTTTTCCGAACGTATTTCATTGAAAAACGGTTCACCATTTTTAATACGTCAACCCTATCGAAGACGTATGCCGGAAGGTACAACACGGGCATTTCTTAATTATATGAAAAAAAATCTTAATCGAACAACTAGTAATAATAGAAAGAATTCAATCAACACAGAAACAATATTAAAACCATCCTACCATCCATGTCTACACGATGGGCCGTGTTCATCGGAAAATCCTGATTGTTGTTGTATTAAAATGGGAACATTTTGCGAAAAATTTTGTAACTGTTCAATTGATTGTCCACGTCGATTTCCGGGTTGTGCATGCAAAGGATCATGTTTATTTAATAATTGTTTATGCAGCGCAGAAGGTCGAGAATGTGATCCAGATCTATGCCATAATTGTGGAGCATCTCTATTTTTTAATCAATTTAATCCTTCAGTTAAATCGTAAGTAGAATTATTGTTAGTCGAGAAGAAATTTGATGTATTTATTTTAGAGAAGTTGAAATACCAATGATAAGAGAAGATGAAAACGTTTCATCAACTGTAGCTGTACGATGTGGTCGCTCACGAACAACGAATAATTTGCCAGCACGATCACATAGTGTTCGATCATGTCGTATTAACGAACCATTATATAAAATGACATCAACTCAAACGCGTCGTACGAATTCAAGAGCATCATTAAATTTCAATACATCGCAATTTTCACCTATGATTACATGTGCAAATATTGCAATGCAACGAAAAATTCATAAACAAATTCTTGTTGCTGAATCAGATAGTAATTGCTTTTAGACCTACATAGTTCTCTTATCACTTCAGTCGAATATGTTTATCCTAAAGCTGTGATTAGTTGTATGAAAAATACATGTTTTATCTATTTATTTAGTTGCTGGTTATGGTGCTTTTCTTGGTTCACCAATTGCATACCCAGGTGATTTGATCGCAGAATATACTGGTGAAATTATTTCTGAAGAAGAAGCTGACCGTCGAGGTCGTCTTTATGATAAACGAGCGTGTTCCTATTTATTCAATCTTGATATGCAACATTGTATTGATGCTCGACAGTTTGGCAATAAACTTCGGTTAGATATTAAACAATTTCTAATATAAATATATGTCTCCATTCATTTTATATTTAGTTTTGCTAATCATTCATCTAAACCTAATTGTGTTCCAAAGATCAAGTTAGTCAGCGGTAAATATTTTTTCTTTGCAAACATAAAGTATAGCATTTTTGCTTTTCGCCAGGTGACTATCGCATTGGTATATACGCAAAAGAAGCTATATTTCAAGGTGATGAACTATTTTTTGAATATATGTATGATCCACATCAACGTCAACAATTTATTAATAATGAACGTGTTGATGAAGCTGAACAGGAGAATTTGATCATTTTAACGCGTTATGGTGATAATTTTATGCTTGTGCAACCATCATATGATTGAAAGTCAAATGAAAATATTTCTCGATATCTGATCTGATATTCTCAGTGTATTTTTTTTTGTTTCTTCTTTTATTTCATCTATAGTCAAAACTAGTAGTATTTTTGTCTGATACCAAAAAAAAACAAAGTAACAGCGAACTATTTTTTTTTATAGATATTCCATTAAGTGTTTTCTTGTTCTTATACATATATAAAGAAAAGAAATAAAATCTATGTTGAACTTAGAATTAGGTTTTTCTTTCACTTCTTCATAGTAAAATAACTGCATGATCTAATTCAAACTTTTATAGTTATTGTATATAAACACGTAAAAGAATTCAATGCCGCTACTTGTTATAACGGGTGGCCCCTGTTCCGGGAAATCAACACGAGCACAAGCATTATATGATTATTTTAAAGAAAAATCAATGTCGGTTCAAATTATTACGGATAATAATTTGGATAGAAATAAAGTTTATATAGGTTTTTATTAATTGATGTTTCATTCGCATAACATTTTCTTTTTTTCTAATAGACAATACACTTGAAAAACAAGCTCGAAGTGATCTTAAAGCTGAAACACAACGGTTAATATTTTTGGCGATCATATTAATAATATGTCAGTTTTCGGTTTTATTTTAGATTAGTCACAAAAACTGATTTGATTATACTCGATGCATTGAATTATATTAAAGGTATTTATTTGAGTAATCGAAAAATTTAAGGCTATTTCAATGGCTCTTAATTTAGGTTATCGCTATGAACTGTATTGTATTACAAAACTTTATCAAACTGTTCAATGCACGGTAAGTTCGAAATTCTTATCGTAATTTCAGATTTCTCTTAAACAAAACTAAAGATCTATTGTAATACACCGGTACATCTTGCTCGTGAATGGAATGCAACTACTCACAAATATGATGCATCCGTGTGAGTTTTAGAGGGAGGAAGAAAAAAAAAGATTTATTTGTATTTGGCATGTTTTATAAACTAGTTTTGATGCATTAGTACAACGTTATGAACCACCTGAAGGACGAAATCGTTGGGATGCTCCCCTCTTCGAAGTAACTCCTGACGATCCGTTACCGTTAGAACAAATTGCTGATTATTTAGCTAATAAACGACCACCACCACCAAATAAATCAACGGTTAACGTAAGTACAAACTATCACTTTATATCAACAGACTATTTAGGATAACTGTCTTTTAGTTACCAATGTCGGATACAAATTTCTTACATGATGTCGATCGTGTTACACAAGATGTTATTGATGTATGAGCATTTTTTTTTTAATTTGTAAAGAATTTATTTCTGTTTTTTCTTAGTCTATCGTACAGCAAAGTAAAATGGCTGTATTTGGTCAACAATTTTCAATTTCTGGTACAACAGAAAAAGTAATTAGAGTTGTTATTCTTTTTCAACAAGAAAATCAATAAGAATTTCTTCTAGATTACTTGGAATCAAACTCATTCCGTATCTGATCTACGTCGAATTCGTCAACAATATCTTAAATTTATTAAAACTCATCCACCATCTAAAGATAATACAAACGTTACAACAATGTTTGTTCAGTTTCTTAACAACAATCTTTGTTAACTTTATTTTTTTTGCTCGTTCTTTAAAATAAAACAAAATATTAAGAACACGATATGACACGTCACACTAACTGAATGAATCATAACTATGTTTCTTACCAGATGTCTTTTTTACTCAACGTATAAAAATACGATACGTCTCACTGGCAAAAAAATTTAGTAATTACGCCTGTTTTTTCTTTGTTTCTTTCTACATAGAAATAGTTTTAGCTTAATAATACATTACATAATTATGGTTTAGGAAAGACAACACATAGATCGTCTAAGCACTAGAAAAAAGTAAGATAAGATGAATGGGATGCAGGCAAAATCAATATCTATACATATCATCACTTCCAATAAGAATATAACCAGACGCAAAAAAAGGATAGCTGATGAAAGACGAAAACTAAGCATATTAAGCAAATAGATATTATCAGATATAATAGCCTACAAGTTTTAAAATTTCCCGGTAAGATTCACAATTTTATATCCTTTCGGTATCTAATTCTGGCAATGAAGCCTGGGCAAAACATTTGAATTTGATTTCTAGAGTGTTTGTTTTTAAGTAAAAAATGTCAGTTTTACTTAATCCCATTTCCTTCTGCTTGCCTTCGTCTTCGTTTGAACACATTTTAAATCAACACCGAGACAATAGACATCCTTTTCAGTAATACTGTCTTCCGGTACAAAGAACGAGGAAATGAACGAGTTACCTGAGTAAGTTTATAGATCGAACACTAACAGAAATGTCACCATGCCTTTCGTGCCAAAAGTTCTGATGTTGAGGATGTCTGGAATTAGTTTCTTGTAAATAGAATTCTAGATCAAAATAATTACAGATGCATCTTATTCGATCTCCAACATTAACATTTGCACTTATATTCACCATATTTTCAATTGTTTTAATGATTGCAACACTTATTCTTATTATACATGAACATTCAAAAAATTATCTTCAACTTTTAGTCGTATGTCCACCATTAAATTGTATATTTCTATTTTTATTTTCTGTTACATGGATTGAACGTCGTTTTCGTTTATCTTATATTCCATTTTTATGTTTACTTATTTTAACGATATCATGCTTAACATTAACAATAATATCAAGTTTATTTTTTTCATTATCAATAATTCTTTATTTAAATTTTATTTACTATTGTTTTCTTACAATTCTATTTCTATCAATAATTATTACAACTATTGCAGCCTATTCCTATGGTTCATTATTTATTCATCGTTATCGTAATATGATGACACTCGAACAGCAAAATAGTGAAATATCAAAAGATGTTGAACGTCTTAGCATAGATAAACTTTTATTGAAATCTACAAATAATAATGAATTAATATTATACATGTCAAAGCTGCCGGGCCGTCGTATTCGTCATGATATACGTAATATAGAAGATGATTTAAATCAAATTCAAGTTCATACAATCATAACATTAAATGAACCAAAAGAATTATCATTTATGAATATGATAAATAAAAATATCTACAACATGGACATATATTCGATGCATGTAAAACGAGCTAATATTCAACATATTATATATCCCATACGTGATCGTTTTATACCAAAATCTATTAGTGATTATATACAATTTATATACAGTGTTATAATAAATGCAAATCGTGTCAATTATAATCGTATACTTGTACATTGTATGGGTGGAATGGGACGAACAGGGATGACTGTTGTTTGCTTAGAACTTGTCCATGAATATATTATGAAAACAACTGATGAACAAGAAGAAAAGACAACTTTAATAGAACGTTTTTGTCACTATCCATTTCTACTAGAAAATTATTGTCGAGTATGTCAAGCAATTTTAAATGTAAGAAAAGCACGACGAGGAACAATACATAATCCATTACAGATCATGTTCGTTCACGAGTTTTATGCTCGTTTAACTTCTCCTACGTATATGCGTCAAATCAAAAAAAATTTTGAACTTCACGAAAGACTTCTCGAAAATGATCATCGCGAGTTGCATCAATCGAATAAAAGACAAGTGTGAAGCAATTCAAATAGAACGAAATGCATAAGAAAAACTTTCCTCTTCAAACAATAAAACATATGTCTAATAAAATTGTGTAAACGTTTTATTTTATTACGTGTATACATAAAGCTTCTTTTCATATCCATGAAAAATTGTTCATTTAATTTAAGCCGGAAACAGAAAAAAAAACACGAGGAAATACATCGTCGATTTGATCGGCTTCACTGCTGGGTAAAGTCTCTGTTTCGTTCACAGCATGACACTTTCGACGATGATGCGAGAAAAAAGCTCATTCTACCTATTAACAGCATCATTTATCCAACAACTAGTGCAGACGAATTCAAATAAAAGAAAAGGAAAAGATGTGATGTTTTCTTCACACACACACACACACACACACTGCTCTGCTCTTTACATACATTAAATATCCTCTCTTGTGTATTCTTATTTTGTTAGGAAATTCGAGATGTTGAGAGATAGAAAAGACAACAAAACAATTCATTGTGAAAATAATATATTTATATATTGAACTTCTCTCTCTCTCTCTGATCAGTAGCAAAACACAGAGAGATTTAAATGAACAAACGGAAGCTTGTTCGTTTTTTTTAACCTAAGACGATTGTGTCAATAGTTATATAACATTTGTATATAATTGGATCTATGGATTTGAAAACATTCTAATCTTTTAACAAGTGATATTCCGATCGTTTGATTTCAACATATAATCAAAACGTTAATTAATATACAAGAATGTCATTTTTCGGTTCATTCATCCATCATTCTTATGTAAAATAGTCATTTTCGTTTCCACTTCAAATGAATGAATACATCATTGACACAACATGCAATTGTCACTTTGAATAGCATTAGCTAAGATTCGATATACTTATATATCTATACAGAAATCAATCATCGATAACGAAATACCATTTTCTTCTCGTTTTTTTTGCCTTTTGTCACATTAATATTGTTTGTTCTAATATTAACACTTTTCCCCATCCTAACAGTTTCAGTCCAATTACCTGGAAATCACAAGCAATAGAAATAGATGAAGACCTTTGTTTTTTTTTTGCATCTGATCATTTTTCTTTTAGTATCTTTCTTAAATAAATCAAGTTTTCAAATCATCAAACACAGCAATGTATGTTTAAAGTATAACAACGAAAAACAGAAGGAAAGAAAATTTTTTCTTGCACATACAATGCGCATCTCCCAGAGTGTGTCTTACACGGTTATATATCCGAGCAAATCAACAGACAAACAAACAAAAAATAATAATAATAATAATAATAATTAATAACAAGAGACAAAATCACATGTGAACTATACATACAACAGACGTGATATATAAATAGAAAAATAAGTTCAATATAGAGACGAAAAACAAACAACAAAAAAAATATTTTTTGTTCAAGTCTTAGTTTTTTTTATGTTGTTTTGTTTACTTATGAAGTAAAAATGTAGAAAGAAAGATATCATCGGAATTTGTTATTGGTGAATCCATTGGTGAAATTGATCGAGATGAGGATACTGATGAACGAGTATCACTACCAAATGATGACGATGGTGAAATGGTACTACATGATGAAGCATCTGATGAACATTCATCATGTAAAAAATGACAACGTGGACCATAAGGACCTTTAAATGAAATAGGGGAAAAATAAAATATTGAGTTTTGTGAAAATTTCTATTTAACTTACAATATCCAGTACAATGATATGTTCGGCAAAGTACAGTTTTATATTTCGGATGTCGATTTAACGAACGTATTTCATTATAGCCATGAGCAAATTGACATTTTTCACCATATTTGCAAAAGCCCGTTTCATGATATGAACGACATAATTCAGTTTTATAACGTTGTGGTGCTGTTTTACTATTGTTATCTTCTGTTGTTTGAATAATATGTGTTGTTATTGTCGTCATATGTTGAGAATTAGTTCGAAGTACAGGACCACCAACAACTTTCGAATAAACTTTCGTTGATGATGCAGGAGATAAAACATTGACATTCTGCAACAACGAAAAAATATTTCATTCGAATATTTTTATTTTATTTATTTAAACTTACAAGTGATGTTAACATATCATGTAAATAATAAGATGGAAGTTGAAACATGGTAGTGATGAATATCAAGGCACCAATGTCGAGACAATACGATGACGAATATGCACGTACACGTCGACGTTTCTCTTTTATATATAGATATTTCTTCGTTTCGAATGAATGTCTAGTGCATATTTCTCTCTCTCTCTCTCTCTTTTGCTCTCTAACTTTCTTTTTTCTCTTTTTCGCATGAACCTGCCATGCGAACAAATGAAGACCAATAGAAAAGCATTCCTTCTATCGTCATTATATATATCTTTTGAAATGACGTAAACACACTTCACGTTGGCATGAAATCAAAAATATCGTTGTTAATTAATTGTAAGATTGATAATATATCCAAGATCTAGGTCTTGTTTGATCTATTGGTATACACATATTCGTATTAGGCTACTTTTTCTTTTGATCAACATATGAACAAGCTACTTGTTGTTTCATTTCAAAGTAGCAAACAAAAGATATAACTATGAGAATTATCAAATGGATAAAAGACCATCTTATCACCTTGCTTAGTTGGGAAATAATAACAACATACTAGGGATCTTGTTTTCTGATTCAAACTTGTTCATTTCGAAGAATAATTTTCTCAGGTATTCTATAAGACTCATTTATTAAAGAGTTATTGCATGTCTTAGTACTTGAGTAGGCATTGCACTTTAGTTTTGATTGAAAAAACCGGAAAATGTTGATCTATGAACACCACTTGTCTAACAAGAAGTTCAAAGAACGCATACACCCAATGGAGAAGAGAAAAAAACTAAAAAGTGTCATGTATATATTATAGAGAATTCAAATGATCGATGAAAATCATCTCTTTGATTTCATCAAAGGTGATGTAAACCTCATTAATCGAATAAGAGATAAAAGGGAAAAGTAAATGATTTCCATTCATATGATAGAATCTTATTCATATACGTATATGCTAAAGTCATTTATGCAATTAAAATTATCTTATCCACTATTATACATAACAGATTATAGAATTCTCGCTCACGTCATAAATTGAAAATTTTTAATTGGATGAATCGTTACAATGCAATTGACAATAATCGATCGATTACATGTTTGTTTTTTGTATTGGTATACACCTGCTTGTCTCATCGCAATGATAAGAATTGCCTTCAAGCCATGTCATCACATGCAGGTGATGATTTAGATATATATAAGAAAAAAAAACGAATTTTTATATGCATTCAAAATTTCCTTTTGATTTATGTTAGTGGAGCATTTTCGTCTTAATGTACAAAAGGATTCATGTATTACATAAGCAATTAGATTCTCTTTTCTTTCTAAATTGTGATAATTGTTTATTTAAAGGATCTGTGGCGTCTATATAGTTAGACGTTAGAAAATCATCGTACAACTACCAGCTTGCCACATCATGATTAAGTTGTTTCTTTAAGGAAAAGGTGTCATTGTGTCGCAATTCGATCGTAATCGAATATGAAAGTGAGAAGATAGAAAAAAGATTATGATAAATTGTTTTTAAATTAGATGGTAGTAGTCATCAAACGAACATATGATAGTGGGTGAGATTTTATCACCAATGACATCTTTTTCGTCAATCAGTTTTCGCCGCGGTAGTATAATGGTAGTACATCCGGTTGTGGTCCGGATAACGCAGGTTCGATTCCTGCCCGTGGCATATGAACTTTTTGATTTTATTGGAGGCCATGGATAATAATTTAAATGAATAAAACTTTAAGTAGTTACGTGCAGAGCTGAGTAGTGATTCATGCTAGAATCAATTGTCGTCAAAATATATTTGCACCTATTCGTATTCGTACGGCTTTTTTGATGAATTTTTTTTTACAGAAAAAGACCTCGATGATCTTTGAACCAAAAACCGTATAGCAAAGAATAGATCAAGTTACACTGTCTAAATTAAATAACGCCGTAGCTCAGAATAAAATGATTATTAAACTTCCATGAGTCCTTTGGCGTTATGGTATACGAAATCAAGTATTTGATCAATTCTTTAAACTATGATGAAAGAAGAAAATTAATCATAAACATACGTGAATCTTTCATCTGAAGTATTATAAGAATTAATAAAGTACTTTTACAGGTGCGCATAAAATTTTCATGACTGTTTTCAGAAAACATACTAAAATTTTATGATTTGCTACTAGTCGATACAGGATTGTAATTATACGGTATTAAACGTTATCAAATTGAAGAAAGCACAGTAATCTGCAAGAAATCCATCTCTCAATAACGCTGAAATATTTCATTATACTTCAATGATATTGAATCTTTAAACCACAGTATAAACTGATTTAGGTTTAGCGAAAGAAATACACGTAGATAATCGACTTCAAGCAATATACGTCTGCTACAGATCTATGTTGTACTTCAAATAGCTTCAAGGTTCTCCTACATAGTTCTCAAATAAGATTGAAATTAAATTTTAGATTACAGGCGACAGAGTTGGTCACAGTGATATAATCGTAGTCATCGGTGGGTAGGGATGTAGCTGTGAATGTAGGATATATATATTTGAGGTTATTTTCCAAAAAAGCATACTATATGAAATTCTTTAGCTCATTCAAATTAATTTTAAGAAGTATTACAGGTAGTTACATGATAATCGGAAATTTTTTCACTGACTATTGTGCCGTGATAAAGTAATGCATCAGAATAAACAATATAGTAGAATGTTGATTATTTTAGAAAATCGACTACACGCATAACAAAAAAAGAATAATGACTTTCCAAATTTTCAAGTATCTGTCAATGAAAAAGAAAAATAACTTTAGCGCAAGCATCGTACCAATATCGTATTGTATACTGACTGTAAATTTGTAAGAGCAAGTGTTGCAAAGGGCGGTCTATACTTTTTCCTAACGATAATTTCTATATCATTCTCGTGTTTAATTTGTTGAATAGGTAAAAAAAGAATTCATTT